CATGACTCTGATGTACCTTTCGTCTTAAGTTAACATTTACCTTCTAACTAGACCTCAATTTAATGCACCATCCAAACATGTGGGATGTGATAAGAAACCCACTACAATCCCTTAAGAAAGTCTCCGCTCCCCCGCAAAATACGCAATGAATTATTTCCGGATTCTCCGGGGAAAAAGCTACTTATCGAACAAATCTGGCAAGCTTGCATTTCCAGAGGACTTCTTGTACAAAAAACTTTAAAGCATTTAAGAAAATGTGACACCCCTGGTTGTTGACAGGAAAGATAACATTTATAGCGCTATTTTTTGTTCCCTCTTTAAAGGTCACACCCGTCAGTTTGAAGCGTAAAGAGGTAACATAATTATCTCGCTACTCTTTACTTACACTGTAACTTATAACTTTAGGACAGTTCAAATTAAGCTATATTTATGAGGGAAGGTCATTCAGACATTTTGACAACTTCTTTTCTTTTATTGAAGCATTTTCTCTTTGCATAACATGATTATCTCGCTACTCTTTACTTAAGTTTAAAACTTTAGGACGGTTCAAATTTAGCTAAATTTATGGGGAAAGGTCATACAGACATTTTGACAATTTCGCATTTTTATTGAACCATTTTCTCTTCGCAGCTTAATATTAAGTGCCTGCTTTAAGGTTGCCTTCATCTGATTTTCGCTCGGCAAAATTTTAGCTCCTGGTCTTACGCATGGAGTATGAAGCAACATGCATATTGCAAAATGAGACACAACATTAAGTCCTATCAAACCAGTTTAACATCCACATTTTCTTCACATACATGTTTATGCATGACATAGTTTGACTTTAATTTTTTTTTCTCCAAATTCGTGTATTGAATGTCTTAAAAACTTGTTCAAATAATTCAGGCGCAACTTTTTTAAATAGATAAATAAAATCGTGATTAAAGGTACCTCTATAGTGGGCAAATATAATTTAAGGACATTGTTAGAAAATAAATTAATACATCCCTTCCCGATTCGAAACCGTCTAGCGAAGAAACCCATAACATACATCGTTTTGGTGCTCGCAATATGTTGATGAAGTGGTAAGTTGAGCTATCTCCTTCCCCCCTTAGGAAAAGATTTCCGCCCCTCCCCTTCATTTCAATTTCTGGATATGCCCCTCCTAGAGGCATCCCATTCATCGAAATTGTTGATTTACCTCCTATGACCCTCACTAATCGACATCCATCGACGAGGATAATGAATGTAAGCTGTTATCAGGCTTAGATGGGCATGATTATGATGGGTGTGGTCAAAATAACACTCGTTTATTATTGAGGCCAGGGGATCCACTTCAAAAAGTAACAAACACTGTACACAGAAAGATGTATATGGGACTACAAAAATGGTGTCGGGCCTACTTACCTTGATTTCCTTATCTTTCTATGCTCATTTATCAGCCAGTATACATTTTCTACCAAAATTGTTTGGCAAATTACATTTATTTGTAATCTTGAACATTGAGTGTAAGTTTCGTTCGATTCTGTGAGAATTCATTTTCTTGTTGTTTTATCAGAACTCAAGTTTATCTTTAAGAGAGACATGTACACTGATATGATATGACATGCTATACGGTCACTTGGAAACGGGTCGAGGATGTTTAGGACATGTTTTAAAAAAAGCATCAGGACACCATTATTTCGGCGTTAAGTTTAATTGTATTGCCCAACGAAAAAGACAAAAAGTAACAAGATATTGTATAAATTAAATCCTCTCATGGATACAAAAAAAAATGTTGAGGACGTGAAGTCGTAAATGAGTATGGCAATAAGCTTGGGCGCTTTCCTGTTTAAAAAAAATATATTATCAAGAAAAAAACACTCAAATAAAACATGGGCCTATAACGTTTAATCAATCTAAAAGTTTCACATATCTGTATTTTCATTCTAGGAGTAGGACCATTGACTGAAATCGATATTTTTCTTGAAGCAACCTGTTTCTCTATAGACCGATGACGTTACAGAGGTGGGTCATGAATCTAAGAATTCTGATTAATTAGTAAGAAAGATTATAAGTTAATAGTAGGTTGGCGGTTTACCAAACTATAATCCTGGATGACAATTGAATTAGCCCAATAAGACTCGAGGCGGTAGTGTATAAAGACATTGGCCTCACAGGGGGGGGGGGGGGGGGGGGGAATTTCAACTTGCTGTGATTAATTTAATTTTAGTAAGGAGAGTTTTGGTTTGCATTAAAGGTGTGGGGGGGGGGAGTTTGCCCCAAATGACTCATTTGAGGGAAAGTAAATCTTAAGAGAATGTGAATAATTTACAGCGGTTCCTGCTCGTTTCTACGAGTGAGGCTGCAGTTATTTTTCGTGGTCGGATGTGTGTTAGGAGGGGCACATTGCCCCCTTGCCCCTTCTTGAAACACGCTAGTGCTGGACGACGTATCATGTCCATCGGCAGAAATATCTCGAAGGAAAGGATTTAAGAAGTTGATTAAGAACCGGAACTAAATAACGTATAGCCTTCGCGTTGCTACCTACTCTAATTAAGCTATGGGATGTGACATGCTACCTTAATCACAACAAAACCGAATACAACAAAGTCATGAAGAAGGGACACTTGAAATTTAAAGAAAACACAGTCCCTAAAATCTGTATTAATTATGCAGATTATCATTAAGATTGCATATATCGAACGCTGTAATACCAATCAAAATGACTTAAATGGATAAAGATCTAATTTCATATGATCTCCATTTGTTTTGATAACATACTGTAAACTCTTTCAATTAATTTGCGATTTAAAAATAGGATATGTACTTTGCCTTTATGCTAAGACCAAATAAAAATTCTTTCCTCGAATGTGCTAATATGCATGTACACGTAGGTTGAGTAAAAATTATTTTTCACATTTCATGACATATACCACTAGTTAGGATTGAACTGTGCATAAATCTACATCAAATGCTGATACACTTTGTAAATTGGCCGAAACTGGGATGCAAAGCATTATGGCAATAACGATGAGGAGTTCCTTTAAAATTACAACAATGGTTGCTATCTTTTATTTGCTGGTTATTAAATACAACAATAATTATCGTAATAATAATAGAATTAATGTAATCATGTGATTATTAAAGAGAAAGTTGAGTTCTGGGAAGAGGTGAAAAATAATTCGTGAGCGTTACTCATTCTTATTATGCAAGTATGGAAGAACATCAGATAAGACATGTTCCCTGAAAAGCATGGCTCTTCAAATGCCTTCATATTCTAAATATGTATGTAAAATCGTAAAAATCGGGGGCCGGCTTTTTACGCCACGTGTTCGTGTAGTCCCATATACATCTTTCTGTGTACAGTGTTTGTAACTTTACCAAGACTTGGCTAAATTTGTTATCATTTTGATGATTCCAGAACCTTGCAATACACACAAATTCTTATATGCTAGATGATCAACCTTTTCTGGTCGGTTCCACACCGTTTCTTTCACAATGCAATCGCATGACCAGAACTCAACTTCATCTTTAACACAACAGCAACAATGAAAAAACTGTAAAATCGAAAAAGAAACAATCACGAAATTGATTTTAAAAAGAAATATTGTCAGTCTTGCTTTGTTCTTAATATGAGCTCCTATCCCGGCTGCACATAACACATGCCATCATCATGATCGTGTCCATATAGCGATATGCGTCATCCATAGCACAGTACCTCTAAACTCAAATGCCTGTTCGCAGTCTCCAACGTGTATAATCTGTCTATAAAGCTGCTACATTTTAAAACTGTTTTCCAACAACTGACACATTCTCTTAATAGATTTAAAAATCATTGTGACTTCCGAACTTGGATCATAAAAGGGTGAAAATAGAAACAAAGTATTTACACGGATGCCTGCATGTACGAGTTGACTTAACATAGGGGCAACACATAACAACGAGGCAAAAGAACTTTCATATAAAGCAATATGGCATTGAGAACTGAACTTATTTCATAATATAATGTCTAAGACATGTTTCGTGAAGATTCAATGCATTTCAAGCAATTATTAATATGCTTCCCTTATTCCTTCTAATCTTGAAATGTCATGGTGCAATTTGGTTCAAAGGGTAACCAAATTTATGTTTTGTGTTTCTTGCGGCAGTCTACATAGTACAGTTGTATTATGTATCCTTTATTTCTTTAATGATAATAATGATAGTAAATGATATTACTGATAATAATAATAATGATGATGATGATGATGATGATGATGATGATGATGATGATGATGATAATGTTAATATTAATGAGAATGATAATAATAATGATACTATTTGAGGCAATGTCATTTAATATACATGTAATATAATATAATTTGATATAATGTAATATATTCATTTTATCATATAATGATAATAATCTAGGAACTCTGCTCCACTGAATATTTTGAAATATATAAATGAAATTAACTACTAAGATCTAAAGTATGTCTACGTCGATTAGACCTCCTTCGATTTACACAAATAGTCCAGGGTTATGATCTAGCGGTACTTAACGCATATTACTCATGACTTTCTTTTCTTAATATTTCGTATGAAACCAATTTAATAGGTCACTTTTATCCTTGATCTTATTTGAGGGAAATGTATACGTCTCCCACCCGGTAATTAATACGCATGTGAAAGACGAAATGCTTAATTAACCGAACGACCAAATCACGTTGGTCATGCTGTAAAGTGGGCAATTCGAGTGCTTTGAACTTTGTGGGTTAGGGTTTAACTTAGGGACTGGCTGAACGCGTCTAATAAACCCATGGGTCATGAACTTCCTTGGGTGATGTGCGTCATTGTCAGCTCTAACGGAATATTCAAGTTCCTCTCCCTTTAAAGAAGGGAGGGAGAGCAAGCCTGGATTAAGTTCCAACCTGAACTAAGCCAGGAAATAGCTCGACAGACACACGTAACAAGTGCAAAAAGGAAGCTAACACCCAAAAATTAAGTTTACGCGCGAAACTAGAGACGAAAATCGGGCGTGCAGACGACACACGTACGCGCGCTTATTTTTTTGCAGACGTTTAGGCAGTGTTCCGCAAAAGGGACAGTGTGAGTTTTAGACTGGGTCGCTATAGAACAGCTAGTAGCCAGGGAATTGTCGGAGCGATTCCTGTCCTTTCACCTTTGAAGTCAGAGACGAGCTAAATTTATCGCGATAAATAATTCTATCATTTTTAAGAGAGAGGTCAACGAGAGAAGACTTGACCATGAAGGTACTTTTAGCTATCCTCCTCGGCTGGCTGGCGACAGCAACGGCCCTTCCACAATGTCCGGAGGGATGGACGTACTCCCTCAAGAAATGTTACAAGTAAGTCTCCTTATAATTCTTTCAAGAATGTTTGTTTTGCTTATTGACGTTACATGCCTTCTTTAATTCATACCCACGCAACCTTAAAATCGCATGCCATTGTATTCAATTCCTTAGTTGCTGAAGTAAAATCCATAGTAGTTTAAATATTGTGAATCATTTTACCATTCTAAATAACAATGCTTTGTTTAAGTTGCTCTTACTTTGAAGAAATATAAGTGTAGTTAACGATGGTTGGTAATGAAAAGGTAAAACTGGTGACATAGTCTGTGAAATTTAATTTCATTACAACACTTTGATCGAAAGAAATGTATAATCTTCTTTAAAAATGTTTCCGTTCTCTTGTTAAGAAGGTAGCGCATCTATTGAAACATTTCCTCTAGATTAAGTGACTTGGATTAGCTTGGTTGGGTCTTCTCGTTAATGATACTGCATGTACGTTATCATTTTCGAGATAATCGGGATGGTTAGGGAATTTTACGCGTGGAAATCTGTGCCCGTTTTTCTGGGGCTACGCCTTATATCCCAGAATAAGGTCTGGCACTTTCCTTACACTCACATTGTCTGCAGAATGGTAAAAACACACGGTAGGCACAACAGGAAAACTATCAACTGATATATACCGAATGATTAAAGATTAGTGAAATAATAAGTGAAGCTACGAGGAAAGCCGAACGGGGAGGGGTAGGCATATAATCACATGTTTGTGTCAAGAGGGGGGGGGGCGGATGGGTGATGTGAATGTCCCATAGCCTTACTTACTTTTTCCCACTTTTCTTAGAACCGGGTAAGTCAATCAATTTATAAACCAATTAATCAATTAATTGTGGAATTAGGGGCCAGGAAGGGGGGGGGGGGGCAAAGAGCTTACCCTTTGATGTCATACTTTCTGGGTTTGAAATCAGTTACGATACTCAATCAATGTATCGGCCATTCAATGAATGAATGAATGAATTAATTAATCAATTAATCCATCAATTATTGATCAGTCAATCAGCAGCAAAGCTTTACCTATGAATGTACCGGCCTCAAATAAATAAGGTATTAGTTATCTCACCAACGTACAAGAAGCTTTACTCATACAATGAGAGCTGTTGTGCACCTTGTACTCCAGATAAGCCATCAATAGATCCTGAAGATCGACCCGCAAAGGAAGTGAGGATATTTTCACCGACTAATTCCTAATTTCTCTATGAGTGACGAGCGGAAGTACAACTGCGGCTACAACAAGAGCAATACCGCTACATAGGTGAAAGATTAGCCTAAAAATATGCTTTTAATACCCAGCTCCCCCTTTTTCGTCGAAAATCATCCAAAAGAATGAGTCTATTATAAAAACGGTTATGAATATCGTGACCTGCAAACGAGGATAAAGGAAATAGATGATTAAAGTGCCAATACAGGGGTTTTGTTTTAGGTTTCGTTTACGCGCTCATGATCAGTTGAGGATAAGTTTAATTATTTCCTGATGTTTTTTGTTGTAAAGATTTAACTCTATGTGGTAAATGTAATTATTATACAGAACAACCTCATTCATCGTTAACTGAGACCTTTAATCAAGTGATCTCCGTCCTCTCTATTCCGGTATGATAAATAAAGATTTAATACATATTTCACAAGGAACTTGCCGTTGACCTTTGAATTCCTTCAGGTTAGGAAACAGTAAGGAAACGACTTCCGAATCGGATAATTTCATTAAATATGTGATTAAAAAATGAACAACACGTTTTTCACATAGTGTATTAGCTCGTTTGATGTTTGTCATGGGATAACATAAAATAAAGTCCTTTTCAGGACTACAAGCCCTCAAGAAAGATTACCGAGAGTCCTTTTCAGGCCTCCTCAATCCCCCCCCCCCTCTCTCTCACATGGTGCACCCGCAAGCCTACTGTATGGATAAAATATTGTTTTGTTGACCTTAAGATATTTTGATGACCTTCCTCTTGTTTGCTCATAAACTCCGAATTGTCAGGTGACCATGGCCATGAGAGAAGGGTAAATGGCAATCATCCGTCTTTCCGCCATGGAACCGTTTTTGATTAGTTCATTTCTGGTCTCCCTAAACTCCTTATCAAAACTTGGCAGACTCGGCAGAAATTGGAACCTATATTGGTCCGTCTATATGCCAAGAATAGACGTTCCTTCGACCGACAGCGCTTCCGTCGTCGTCTTTATATAGACTCCCATCAGGGATTTGTGGTCAAATTGGTGATTATTACAACCTGACCGCCTGAACCTGCTCTCTTTCATTCTTTGCCAACTTTTCAAAACTGACCCAGTTAATTTCAAAAAGTTGTAAATGACCAATATGTCTCGTTGATCACGTTGATTCTTGTACTCGTCACTCCTTAAAACAATCCTTTCACTTGCATTTGAATACAACAACAAAAGATTATACCCCCTCCACAGGAAAACAACAACAATAAAAACAACCCATGATAAACAGGGAAAAAATATTCCCTGGTATGGGACACTTATTTTATCATCGTTTTCCACATATCCTTTTAAAAATTGGGTTGAAATAGACATACATGTACCAAAGAAAGTGTTATTTAAAATACAAACTAAAATTGTAGCCAAGCTTAATCAAATTTATAACAAGACTTGACTATAGATGTCCATTCACATGAGTGTTTCAATTTCTTCAATTTTCTTTCTTTGATTCCTGAAAGGTAATGAGGTAAACCATTGTGCAACTGCAGATGTTAGCTTAATATCTTGCTAACCTAATCCTGTTCAAGCGGGATCATCATATTCCAACGAAGCATCATTTATAACACAACATACAAATTTGTATAAAGATTCTTACGAAATAAGAGCTCTCAACTACCATACCAACAGCTTTCAAATCCAATAATGATCCCATTGTCTAACCAACTAATTGGTTCCTGTATTCATTCTTACTGAATGTTACATTTAGAAGCCATTGTGATGCTGAATGAGCTTCCCTGGTATAATAAAACAAGAACAAGTGTCTGCCGAAGACATCCTAAGAATTAACAAAGGCATTATAAATTAACAAATTTCTCATCAATTTTGTCATTTTTTTCTTATTTAGATTCTTCCCTATGCCTTTGATAAAAGAGGAGGCCACGGTAGCGTGTACAGAGGCACCAAATGTGATAGGAGGAAAACTCCTGGACATTGCAGACTTTGACAGTTTCAGGTTCGTCAAAAACCTATACACCCACACGTTGCCTTTCTACCAGCCTCCAACTGGTCAGCAGCTTGACTTCATACCACCTGAAAAAGCTATTTGGACAGCCTTGGCTTTCGATTGGAACCTTGAGCAATGGACCACAGGAACCACAGGAACCACAGGAACCCCAGGAACCACACCCGCTGAACCATTTTACAGATTCAACAACTTCAACAGTCAACCAATAGGAAAACCACCCGCAGAACCTCTGGAGCTTCTGTCCTGCACAGTCTACCCAGCAGTGGAATTTCCTCAGACCGCCATGCAGCAGGAACTGACACCACTAGAGCTACCAAAGCAAGCGATTGAGTTCATGACATTGGCCCCATGCGAAGTTGAGCTCCCCTACATTTGCGAAGCGCCGGAGACTCCACCTGCAATAACACCAACGGCAACAGGTGCTCCTGCGACCACCGCTGTACCCTGGGGAACCACACCGATGATGCCACAGACTCCATCTTTCCCCAACCGCCCGGGACGCCCTGGCTTTCCTAACAGACCTGGACAACCTGGAAGACCCCAGATCCCCGGAAATAGACCACAGTTCCCTGGAAACAACCCACAGTTCCCTGGAAACAGACCCCAACAACCTGGCGGAGGACCTCAGCAGCCACATCCTCCTCATGGCCCCCATGGCCCTCATGGACCCCATGGCCCTCATGGACCTCATGAACCTCACGGTCCCCATCAACCACCACACCAGCCCCCTCACCAGCCTTACCCTGGGTTCCCAAGCAGACCGAATCAGCCAGGAGCAGGCAGGCCGAACAGACCAGGCTTCCCCAACCAACCTAACCAACCACAATGGCCTAGCCGACCCAACCAACCCAACCAGCCACAATGGCCGAGCCGACCCAACCAACCCAACCAACCACAATGGCCGAGCCGACCCAACCAACCCAACCAGCCCAATCAACCCCAATGGCCGAGCCGACCCAACCCTGGTTTCCCACGCCGCCCAAACCAACCCGTATGGCCAAGGAACCCTGGTAATCCAAATCAGCCAGTCAGATACGCTGCTAACCCCGACGGAGTCCGACCATACGAATACCGATACAACAACTATGTTTTCTCAGATAAATTTGCCGGTCTTGGTATAAGAGCGTAAAGCAATCAGGACAAATTGAACAATCTATATATTTTCAAAGTAGGTGGCGAAAGTCACCACCGGACACACCTGGATCCTGACACATGGACAATGCCTGAATATAAAAACCGGAGAAGCAGGCTATTCTAATGTTTGCAGATAAAGAAAAAGACTCCACAACGCGCTGAAATAATTTCGTAACCAATTATGATAACAGCAATAGCACAAAATACAATAGGATGCTAAATGGCTACAGTTTTCTATATTTTTTTTAATTCATGGCGTTGAGCAGAAGTATGACTTCCGGTTCCTATGACACGAGAAGTTTAGAGAAATGTTATCTAATCTAAAAGGATTTCTGGTTTACGAAATTGTTTTTTTTTCTGGGATTTTTTCCAGGAAACCTTTTGTACTTACAATCAGACTGATTGTCAGTCATTTATCTTGACTGATGAGATATAAAGAAATATGTTTATGAAGAAATTTCGCTTGTGTAGATAGATATTGCTAATACCCCAAAACCTGACTTCTGCGTTTTGTTTCATCCACCATTAAAGCATTTAAAATGTAGATTAGACACGCACCCTTATGTTCTATGGAAACATTATTTTTATTATCATAATTTGAAGACACCATGAAATCTAGCAATATGCAAACAGTATTCAACTATTTGTCTTTCAGAGTGTTTTGTAGTGCAATTTTGTGTTTATTTTCTATGACTGATGTAAATATGTTTCAAATTTGTAATTGAATGTATATGATTGTATTCAACGCCTAGCTTTCGTAAAAACATCCAATATGTCTACGAAATAAATGTTATATAATTGATTTTATTGCTGTTGCCTATTCGCATTTGTATTATTTTAATTAGCAATGAAGGTGTAAATGGAAAGAAAAGACAAACCACCTTTCATGTGTCGCAGTTGTTTCCCTCTGAAACTGCAATGCTAATAAGCTTTTATTTGATTTTTTAAAGAAAAGTAGAACACATGATCCAGATAGAGCATAAAGCCAAACAATAGAAGCGTATAAATGTAAAAATGTGAGATGAGAAGATAAAGACAGAGAGAAGGAGGGAGAGAAACAGAGAGAGAGAGAGAGAGAAAGAGAGAAGCACTGAAAAGATTGAGGCAGAGAAATGAGAAAGAAAGAGAAAGACATAGATAAAAGCTGTGGACATTGAGAGAGAAAGGGGGAAGCAGAGAGAAAGAGAGAGAGAGAGAGAGAGAGGGAGAAAAAGGGAGAAAGAGAGAGAGAGAGAGAGAGAGAGAGAGTCTAAAATTGGTAAGAGACAGGATATAAGATATGTGGCGTATTGTACATCCTTCAACAACAAAAAATGGCGCTGCCGTAGGTCACATATAGTGCGACCAATTTAGACAAACACATTTAAATCCATCTGTATCTATAGATTGTATTTATTCATTTATTTATTTTCCACTTGCGGGAAGGACCACCTTTATTAGCTTGAATGATATTTTTGCTAGGGATCAACTCACATTAAAAACAAAATGAAATAAATGCAATCAAAGACAATGTAATATGGAAACTAAAACACCAATAAGTATTATTTACAAATCAAAATGAGAAAATCAAGAGAAATACTCACATGAATATAATTAACGCACAAATAACCCTATATATATTGGCCTAGCGCAGTAAGATTGTGCAGTTATTTATGTCTTGCTGATTACATAAAGATGAACAAAATACAAAAATCTAAAAAAGAAAGCATGACCACAGAAACAAAAGATTTGCCAGGTGAAACAATTACAGGGTTAGAACATATTACTGAAGAAGACACATTTTTAGAGGATTCACCGATCCTAAAGAGCGGAAAAATACACAAATACATACTCAACAATACATTAGCTGAACATTTTATCCAGTATATAGGAGTTTCATGCAATATGTTAACACTCTCAGTATTTAATAAAAACAAGGTTGATGGTAAGGTGTGTCTTTCATTATTCATGGGGCAGGGTCCTTGCTTTAATAATGATGACCTTTTCTTGACAATGAACTTGAAGGAAACTCCATGGGGACTCGACTTATCATGTTGGAATCAGTATTACTAAGCTCCCTCTAGAGCTATGAAAAACAAAATCAAAATTTGATGACAGAAAACTCTTCGCAGAGCGTACAATAAAGTGGTAACATAAATTAGTATCGATGTTTGTTTCCCAGAAGTTTTAAATTTCCTTTTCCATAATTATTGTATTTTCTTTATCATCCCACGACTGCTGGTAATTACATGAAATGTCTTGAAGGTTATAGCAAGCATACCATCTCAAATTACTCGGTAACATTGTTGAAGGTTGATGAAAAAACTGCTTAATTTTTGTATAAAATGTTGCTTACTATATTCCTTCTACTGAACTAACTCTCTGACATGCACAAAAAATCCTGAAAAGATTCTCAAACCACGAAGATATCTATGGTTTTCTTTGAAGGAGTCGATGTATGACACCCTCTAACAGTGATTAACAGTAAATTCTCCCAACCATTTTTGAATTTTCCCAACCGTTTTTCCATGAACAAAAGACATAAAACAGGCTATAAAAAATCTGTCAACACCTAAATGTCTGGAATGGAATGTAGAGCCATTTTATTGCTTTGTGACGATTTCCATTTACCTAAATATAATTAACTTGTAATAATTTAGTTGGGAGAATTAAGGAATCGATCAGATCATTTTTTGTCAATTTGTACCATGAATAATGGTCCGTTTTCACTAAAATTTTCAAATTATCTTTAATTGTACATCTAGCATTGAAGTCACCACCTTAGCACCACTATCTCTTATCTGAACAATGTTACAAAGTCCCTTTAAAGATAAGGTTTATTTCTATGCACCTATTTCTCAGTCTGAAGGTTCGTCTGCTTCAAGCAACTTCTTTTTCTATGGCCACTTACGGAAGTGAGTCCTGGGCCATGACAAAAAATGACAGAAAAGAGTTGATGCCTTTGAAATGGGATGCTACAGGAGGCTGTTGCAGGTGTCATGGAAAGATAAAAAGACAAATGTGTGGGTCCTGGAAAAGATTGGAACAGACTTGACCATCAGAAGGGGAATCATGGAAAGAAAACTGAACTATTTTGGGCACATTGTTAGGAGATCTGAAGGTGTTGAGAAGCAAATACTGCGAGGAGCAGTCGAAGAAAAACGGGGTAGAGGTCGTCCACCAATACCTTGGACTGATGATATAAAGAAAGTGTCTGGACAAGGAATGAAAGGTGCAACATAAATGGCAGGTGAAAGAGTTGCATGGCGTGCAAATATTTTTTTTTGGTTTACTGTTTATTGAATAATCGAACGAATAAGAGTAATGCTGTAATAATGTAACAAAATGAATCGTGTCAGGATTTCATAATGAAATGAAGTTTGCTTGTACATTTAGTTAATAATTAGGGTGTTTCTTTAATAATCAATGTATTACTTAAAAGTCGAGGGTCACACCTCGACTAAAAATAGAAGGCTCTTAGGGAAACCTGCCAAGCAGGTTGTATTAATCTATTGATTAATGTTTATCTTTCAAACGATTCACAGGTGTACCTCTCTTCCTGTCTCACTCTCTCTCTCTCTCTCTCTCTCTCTCTCACACTCTCTATGTCTCTCCCTCTCTCTCTCTCTCTCTCTCTCTCTCTCTCTCTCTCACTCTGTCTCTCTCTGTCTGTCTGTCTCTCTTTGTCTTTATGTCTGTCTGTCTCTCTCTCTCTCTCAATCTCTTTCTCTCTCTCTCTATTTGTCTGTCTGTCTTTACGACTCTCTCTCTGTCCCTTTCTCCCTGTCTGTCAGTTTCTCCCCTCCCTCCCCTCACTCTCTCTCTCTCACTCTGGAAAACAAAGTATCTTTGTCTGTCTGTCTCTATTTATCTCTCCCTTTCTCTCTGTCTGTCCGTTTCTCCCCCGCTCTCAATCTCTCTCTCTCTCTCTCTCTCCCATGTTCGTTTATGGGAAAAAAACAAAGTCCCTGACATGCAGGGACGGGGCTTTGCATCTGCGGACCATTATTGCTGGCATCCGCATCCGAACCCAGGGAGGGGGCTATTTCGGTTTTCCAGTCTCCCTAGGATTACAGGGGTTACACGTGAGGGTGAATCACCCATAGTTTATGTGTGCTGTACCTATATTTAGGCCAGTTTATGGTATCACATTCAAACTCGGGATTACATTTTCGAGTCATTCAGAAGTCATGAAAAATGGACATGAAAGAAATGGGATCTTATGTTCAATACACATTCGGTATTAGATAGTTTGGTGTTGCGTTCCCAAGCTTAGTAATAGACTAACAGGTGCGAACGTGGAATTCCTTGCGATCATGTGGATAGGAGAAATGGAAAGGAAAAAAACATCAACCGCTTACAGTAAGTTTTATTTTAATTAATTTGTTTATCTAAATCACTGCAAGTCAAATTCATCGTTCAACGCCAGTACAGTAGCAAGCCAGGTTCAAGTTCAGAATTTCATTGAGATGTAGGGGAAAAGACACGGAATCGACATGGGCAACAAACACTGCCAACTAGGCCTATTTTGATATTGTGTCCTTAGACAGTACAGGCTATCAGATTTAACTCTATTCCACGGTAAGTCAAGCAGAAAAAAAGAAACGAAAGGAAAATGTTTCATATTGGCAGAAAGGTCATGTCCAAGCGTGTAACAACCTAAATGGCATGCAGTAGACATTTCTCTTTTCAGCCGAAAGGTGGCGCATTTCCGATAAATGTTATGGTCTTTAACTCGAAAGTATTATCCATCTTTTCGTTCGACAAAGATAATAGTGTCAGACCGGTTTACTAACATATTCACATTTATGGATATTTCTTTCCTGGCGACCTAGCGACTAGATATTCATTAACCTGTTATTCATGAATGAACTGCAATATTGGAAGCCAGCCTGCATACATAACATGTTGCTATGTCGGGCAAGCCTCGACCAAGCTTTCAGGTCGTGGATTATATTTATCTCTCATGTCGCCTCTAAAATTTCTTGTCTGCCCAAGTTTCAAATTAAGCTGTTTTCATTACCTCTGGTAGCGGCTAGGTAAGATGGATTAAATGTAATACGAGAATTGATATTTTCATGGTTGTCGTATTGTCAGGCTACTTTTGATATAGCGCCATCTATAAACCTTTAAGCCTGAAGTGAAATTACACCTAAATAGGCAAGAAAATTATTTTTGTTTTGTTTCTGTTTTTAAACAAATTACATAGGAGGAGGACTGTGATTCTCACCCCCCCCCCCCAAAAAAAAATGTCATTCACTTGATCAAACAGCAAATTCAAAAACAAACACGTCCATTTGAGCCTAAGTTTGAAAGGGATAAACACAAGCAATAAAGAAAGACAAATAAAATGTAGACGAACCAAATCAAAAGAAAAGGGTGACGTTGAAACGCTATCACAACGTAGGAAAAAATACAATTCTACATTTATCGTCTTTGTCAAATTATTTAGGCTGATCAACATTAAATGAAGGTATCGTGGTATCAAGTATTGTAAAAGATAGTCGAAATATATTTTAAGGACAGTTCTAATCTAAAGATGGCTCTCAAATCATGAATATACAACTTGTTGAAACAAACAGAATTTAAAAGATAGAAATAGAAATATGAACATATAAGGTAGTTATAGGAGATGTTTGATAAGTTCTTTAAAGTTAAATGCAGAGGGATCGAGTGCGAGGGAATGGGAGGGGCGGGATGGGGCTGGTAAAGGTAAAATATAGGAAGAAAAATAAAACAAGGAGGGGAAAGATTTCACGCCCCTGATGAAAAAAGCACCCAAAAAGAAAACAACCAAATAAACAGTCACCATCTATGACTTGCA